CGAATGGCCCTGAACTCTGCCTAACATGATTTCATTAATGACCAACTGAATAGCTTCATACTGTAACCCAGACATGGATTTAAGATTATTACAGTCAGTGCGCGGGTTTGTTAAGGCAGCACATGGATCAGAATTCGTCGAATTAACACTTTTTTATGATTATGTTACACAAATAAATCGGAAAAGTCAAGGATAAAAATTTTTACTATAATTGTGTATTATTTATCAACTTCAATGAAACTATACTACAGGAGGCACTTCACCACGACGTCACCACGTGACGTCTATAATTAGAAAATATGCCTTAATGAAAAAGTGAAAAGTTTAACACTACCCCGGGAATAATTAGTTCCAATTTATATCAATAGTTATGTTAAAACATCTCTGTACCATGAAAAGTGCTGCTAGAATCCTTCTGTCCTCTTATAGAAATAATTATTCAACAATTTCGGACGAAACCTTCCTAAAATTTTTACATTTTGTTCATAACATCGAAAAAAATGCATCAATTCCCGTAAACCATACGATTCTAGCAGCACTTTCCAAAAACAAAAGAATAAGAACTTTAGATAGAAACAAAAATTAAGTTTCAAGGTATGCGGCGTAGTGTTGAACTTTTGCATCTTTTTTGTTACGAACGACAGAGGAAAGGCTGATCGGCAAGTGAAAGCCCTCTCTGCTTTAATTTTACGAAGAAATAGCAGAATTGTATTACCATACCTTATTCACACGCTTTATTCCCACAAGAATTACACATGATATTCAGTCTAAATGCTTTTAAACTCCGATTTTTTGTGTTTGTTTACATCAAATTTCATTACTTTTCACTTTCACTCCGCTACTGCATGATCAACAGTTATGACGTCACGGGTTTGGTATGTAACCCCTGTGATAACTACAGAGGCCCAGGAACGACAAAATTCCGTTGATATTATTCCTCTGCATATTTTGGTTCATTTTTACGACCTCAAATCAATCTTAGATATCGATTTTAAGAAATTTTTATCTCTAAATCTCACGTCATATAGCTTATTATGACGTCATATCATATAGGCAAGTAGAATATTTGGTTGTAACCTTAACCTACCTGCGTGGCCACTCGAGGCCCTTCATAACACAACCTAAAACCATATGTAAAACCCTGCAAAAGTTCTAAGGCTACCAAACCAAGTGGGTAATTTGCTAATAAATCGCCTAATCTCGGTACGTTAATCGGGCTTGCTGCAATATTACTGAGGTCTAGCTGATTGGGTATAAGGTGCTCTAATAGCTGAACTTGGTGCCGCGGGTCTCCTGGGTAGCTGAGGCCGCCATGTTGCTTGCAGACCAGTTGACCTAAAATTCAAACTAGAGCCTGAGGATGTCTTATGTTTAATGTAGGGATGGTTTTGTGAACAAATCATACATTCGTGCTTGTATTGACATACAAGTTTATTACATATGCCCTTTTAATTGAATTCATTACACTTTAGAAGGGGGGCCTGATGTGAGGAAGTCTGGGTGCTAGGGGGACTGTACATATACAAGAGCCATAGCTCCCGATCGACAACAGCAAATGAGAGAGATGGGTTAGCCTCCTTCTTCAGTCTGAACTGGATGTCGTAATCACGCTACCCGAGAGTCTTAACTCTATTTGCCCCTAACCTAATAGTATGAATATATTTGAATAACTGAGTTCTGCTCTCGGGATGGGCTGAGGTATATATCGATGCGTAAATGAGAAAGGCATCTGTCCATACTTGTATGTCATTGATTACCTTTGCTTTAGATTTGGGGGCCAGGGTGAGGCTTCCCTCTTTCATAGAAAAATATCTGGTCTCATCGTTTGGATCGGCCCCATATGAATTTTCAACCAACAAGCCTAAATTGATGTACTCGCCATTAACAATTTTAAGTTTTAATTTATTTGATACTTTATGGCCTAAATCATTGTCGTAGCTTGTCGTTAATGCAAGATAATTGTCATTTATCAAAACGGGTTCTGTACCTTGACTCTGTTCCCGTGTGGCCATGGGGGTTTCCAGTGGCTCTATGGGCATTGGGGGGTTTGTCTCGCTCTGCTTGCTTAGGATGTTTGCTACAGCTTCTGACACCTGCTGCAACTGCTCATTAGATAAGTTAAAGGACGGCTGTCCCATGCTTCCACTGGTTTCAGTTTGACCATCTCCTTGACTGGACTGGGCGCCATCGTTGCGCTTGGCGCGCCTTCTTGGTAATGGCGTCGAATCACGCTTTCTTTTTGGCATTGTCGTTGACTTGGGGTGCTCGTTATGAAATACACACACACAAATAAAAATTAATATTAAACTCTGACTAAAAAAGAAAAATGAACAAAACACAAAAACAAAAACAGTCGGATTATGGTAACAATTAGAGGAATTTGTGCCAATGTATCTAGCTATGCGAACGGAGGCCAAAATAAATTGAAGAAAAATATGTGAAACAATTCTACCAATGACCGTGTTCAAATATTTCACAGAGAGCGAACACAATCTACAATGCGTAGTAATACAAAAAAGAAATTTCGCCAAAGGCGGCTTAGCACGTGGGAAAGAGAACCCAAGTGCTGAAAACACGTCTTACCTCGTTGAAATTTTGAAGAAACTTGATTTTTTGCGCTCGACGTCACAGGTTTTAGTGCATGGGTTTGGCTAATACCCCGAAAACCCTGAGAACAGGATGGCGCTAATACAAGGCCAGGACCGGAAGGATACCTCCTATACCGAAATAATAAAAAGCTCAATGGCACTTTGATAAACGGATTTAACCTTGAGTGGTTAAATCGCATTAACGTTGAGTAATATAATGATATTTTTATAAGGGCACATTTCTTGTAGTAGAACTTGTAATCATTTTTGAAAATATGCAGTGCTTTTAGAAAACAAAATTTAATATTAGTTTTATTTAAATTTAAAAAAATGAAAATATCTATTATTTTATTTTTTATTATACAGTTACCAAAGGAGGGAGTGGTTTTTCGGGTACATTTTTACCTGGCCCCATGATCATGGAAAAGACAGACATAGGTCAAATTTCCATTGGCATGCAGGATGTTTAAAAGTTCTTTATAGTTGTGGTGCGTTGAGTCAGATTCTGAGTTTTGGTAGGTGCGTTGAGTCAGATTTTGAATTTTGGTAGGGTGGTATAACGTAGGTAAGCAATATCGAGGATGCAATAGTCTGTGCATAAAAAGCGCCAGATGAGCAATTAATAATCAGCATTGTTCTGTCTTTGATGCTGGCCAACAGAGGTACTTCGGATGAAAGTCTCCAGACGAGGTTCTCGTCTCCCCGTCAGTTTCCTTGGTCTGATTCTATATTTTTCGCTTAAGCAATTCAAATCTCGAAATATAAACAGAGAATATCTGTTGCACTGTACATGTAACCATGAGCTGTCATCAATGATAATGTAATATTATCAAAAGATGCCCTTACCTTGGGCCTTTATACCAAAGATAACAAAAAAACTTCTATCTAATTATTTATATTTATTTGGCGATATAGGCCACGGCTGCATTAAAACAAATAAGGGAGCCCAGCATCAATTCTTGCCTTGGTGGCGTCCCCACAAATAAAACAAGCATAATGGAGAGCCCTGGGACCAGATGCTCGCCTGCTTGGACAATAATTGCAAAATTCAATCAATTGTGCACCAAGTCATATATTAAGAATCAAGGTTAGGCACTACTGGTGAGCCAAATATCCGCTTGGGCAATGTGTTCCTCCAGGAAGAAAGTGATTACAGCCGTGACGGTTAGGACGGGACCTTGCTGTGGATATGGATAATGCTTTATATTGTCTGAAAAAGAAAACAGAACAAAACACGAGAAAGCAGCAAATAGTTTCCATTAACATATTAATTTATTAAAGGGCGTGGTTGGGAGGGGTTGAAATTTTGAAAAAACTTGATTTTTTGCGCTCGACGTCACAGGTTTTAGTGCATGGGTTTGGCTAATACCCCGAAAACCCTGAGAACAGGATGACGCTAATACAAGGCCAGGACCGGAAGGATACCTCCTAATACCGAAATAATAAAAAGCTCGATGGCACTTTGATAAACGGATTTAACCTTGAGTGGTTAAATCGCATTATCAAAAGATGCCCTTACCTTGGGCCTTTATACCAAAGATAACAAAAAAACTTCTATCTAATTATTTATATTTATTTGGCGATATAGGCCACGGCTGCATTAAAACAAATAAGGGAGCCCAGCATCAATTCTTGCCTTGGTGGCGTCCCCACAAATAAAACAAGCATAATGAAGAGCCCTGGGAACAGATGCTCGCCTGCTTGGACAATAATTGCAAAATTCAATCAATTGTGCACCAAGTCATATATTAAGAATCAAGGTTAGGCACTACTGGTGAGCCAAATATCCGCCACGAGCCTATGCTTTGAGCATTGGCTGCGCCACCAGTAGGGTCAGACGGTGGGGGGGAAAAAAAGGGGGATTGAAATTCTTAAAATTGATGATTGCATAACTCATGTTTATGTCCTCAAATATTGTAATTTATGACAATAATCAATATTTGTTAAAATAAAATGATCAGAAAATAAGAAACTGTGTCAATACAAATACATAGACTCTCAACAGTCTGAGCAAGAGCAAACATTGACTTGGTGCATGACAGTACAAATAAATAGACCCTCAATAGTCTATTGACAGTAAATAAAATAGTTACCATGACTAAAATCTTAGTCATGGCGCAGCCATGGCCCAATTTCCCCATCTCTTGGGGACACATGAACCGAGTTATTAATCAAAAACACTTGCAAAGCCTGTTGCAACCTATACAAAAACAAGTTATTACCCATCTCAGAAAGGTGAACCTTATCTTTAGAAAACATGCCTGTGTTGATCCTATGTAACTCTGGGTACCTGATGTACTTCCCCCCGGACCTTAACAAGTGAGTAGCCACATGGCTATTTACTCTGACTCTTATTCTCTCCATAGCAGACTGGTTGATACCCCCCCTCCAATGAAGACGTGGCAGTACTTGTGACCATATAAGCAAAGTTGATGGTAGCAATTTTTCTAATTTTTGTAATATTTCTTTTAATCTGAAACGTAGATCAGCTGACTTACCCCCACTATACCATGGAATGTTATTTCCCCCGCAATGAATAACTAACATGTGAGGAGCATTTTCTACCTTGAGTAAAGTTCTAATTTTGGGTAATATGTCCTCCACCTTCATACCCCCTTTGCCTTGCCAGAATATGGTAGCATTGTGCCGGTCAATTCTAAGTTGGTGCCAAATACTGATTTCTGGCATAATAAAATGCATGTTTAACAATGGAGGACCCAATGATCCATATTCTCTTTACACCTACAAAGATTTGACAACAAAAAATTAGCGAGTTATGAACATATTAATTCCTTATGTACTTGTACAGACACTGAGATTTCCATCTGCCCTTACTAGCAATGTCTTTTTCACTGGCCCCATTAGCCCAGGCAGTTGAGGCTGCGCCTATGCGGAAGGAGTGAGTTTTATAAGTTTGCTTGCTTAACCCCAATTTGTCTAAGGCCATATTGAAAACAGCTGACACCTGATACCTTGTCACTGGGCTACCCGAGATGTGGCAAAAAAATGCTGAAGGGATGCTAGGTCTTAGTTGCATAAATGATAAAACTAGGCGCACTGGGCATACTGCCTGTAAAGTGGCTGTTAGTGAAATTGTTGCCCCCCTCCCCTCTTGATCAGTTTTGGAGTGTTTAAGGACAATGAGGACTTTATTGGTCTGTTTGTGATAAGTTACATCCCCGGCTTGAATAGCATGACCAGGGTCATGCACTGAATTTGAACCAGCCCCCCCATTCTGAAATAACCAAAAAAGGCTGTTGAGAATATGGTTGAGAACAGCATCGTTTCATAATGAGATTTGCTTTGTGGGCAGCAACTTAAGGATGCTGGACAAAATTGTTAAAGTGACCGGTTTACGTTCATCGACCTGGACATTTTTTCTGCCCAGCCCTACCAGGGTTTTTCTGAGTAAGAATGATTGTGTTGGATCAGAAAGGTTGTGAAGTTTACAAAAATAAGATATCCCAGAAATGTACGACTTAACCGTGTTTGGGGAATACTGCTTATACGATAGGTAGGAGACAAAATCGATTAATTGATTGTAATGGGGCCACTCTTCTGTGTCAAAATAATGCTTGCGAAAATCATTGAATACATTTAATGCAGTGTTATACAACTTCTTTGTACTGTCAGAGATGGAATAGCTTAAGAGCTCATGAGCTCTATGTCGCAGATCACCTGCCGAAATGACCAGGGTATTAATGTTGGGTGATCCTCTGCCTCTGGGAAGTTGGCTCGGAAACGTGACCATTGCTGTCGAGAGATAGAATCTGCTTTAATATTATGCAGGCCTATGATATGAGTTGCCTTAAACTGGATGTTATGCACTAACCCCTGAAAAAACTAACTTTCTGAGCAAATGCATGACCCTTTTTGATTTTGATGTCTTAGAATTAAGAATTGATACCAGAGCCTGGTTGTCAGTGTGAAGAATAACTTTTTTGCCAGCCAATTTTTCCCCCAGATTTCGAAAGCCATAGCTATTGGTACTAATTCTGGAAACTGTTATGTCTTTAATGATCTCTAGCCCTTTCCACTGTGATGGCCATTGCAGGAATGCCCATTGCTTACCTAAAATAGCACCACAGACACTCAACTGAATGTTCCCTGCACTATCAGTAAACAACTCCATGTCAAAATCATTTGACCAATCTACAGTTCTGTAAGAAGTCAACTTCGTTGAAACATTCTAAGAACAGTAGCCAAGTTTTAATATCTGCCCTCATTTCTAAATTGACCCTGCGTTTGTGATGTGGCTCTGACAGCCCACAAGTAGCATCATAAAGCCTTCTAACAAAAGCCCTACCAGCTGGGATAGCCCTTATACAAAAATTCAGTAGCCCTGTAAGAGCCTGAAGCTCTTTCAATGTAACCTTCTTTTTGGATAATATATACGTTAACTGGTCCTTAAGCTGTCCCAATTTGTCTGATGGTATGCGAATTGTCATTTCTCGAGTGTTAATTTCTAGCCCCAAAAAAATCAAAATATTTGTAGGCCCCACAGTTTTTTCAAACGCTAAGGGGATGCCCAGCTCATGACAAATGGAACTAAAAACCGACATAAGCCTAGCACAATCTTGGCTACCATCCCTACCTGCTACCAAGAAATCATCTAAATAATGAACCACATTGTTGCTTTTGGCCTGCTTTTTCATAGTACCCATTCTACAGAAATCCAAATGGCAAGAAAACTTCATACCCTGAAAAAACCTAATAATTCATATCTGCTCTGTGAATTGGCAATAACCTAAATGCATTTTTTATGTCTAATTTAGCAATTTGTGCTCCTGGACCTAATTTTGCAAGCATGTCTAATGCATCGTCAAATGACGAGTATTTAACTGAGCAATGTTCCTTACTAATAAAATCATTGACGCTAGACCCTGTAGGGTAAGACAAGTGATGAATCAATCTGTAGGAACCCCCCTTTTTTTGTACCATGCCCACTGGAGACAGCCTAAGGTTCGGTAGAGGGGGCTGATCGAATGGACCTGCAACTCTGCCTAACATGATTTCATTAATGACCAACTGAATAGCTTCGTACTGTAACCCAGACATGGATTTGAGATTATTACAGTCAGTGGCCACTCGAGGCCCTTCATAACACAACCTAAAACCATATGTAAAACCCTGCAAAAGTTCTAAGGCTACCAAGCCAAGTGGGTAATTTGCTAATAAATCGCCTAATCTCGGTACGTTAATCGGGCTTGCTGCAATATTACTGAGGTCTAGCTGATTGGGTATAAGGTGCTCTAATAGCTGAACTTGGTGCGGGTCTCCTGGGTAGCTGAGGCCGCCATGTTGCTTGCAGACCAGTTGACCTAAAATTCAAACTAGAGCCTGAGGATGTCTTATGTTTAATGTAGGGATGGTTTTGTGAACATATCATACATTCGTGCTTGTATTGACATACAAGTTTATTACATATGCCCTTGTAATTGAATTCATAACACTTTAGAAGGGGGGCCTGATGTGAGGAAGTCTGGGTGCTAGGGGGACTTGTGCATCTTACAGGAGCCATAGCTCCTGATCGACAACAGCAAATGAGAGAGATGGGTTTGCCTCCTTCTTCAGTCTGAACTGGATGTCGTAGTCACGCCACCCCGAAGTTGTTAACTCTACTTGCCCCTAACCTAATAGTATGAATATATTTGAATAACTGAGCTCTGCTCTCGGGATGGGCTGAGGTATATATCGATGCGTAAATGAGAAAGGCATCTGTCCATACTTGTATGTCATTGATTACCTTTGCTTTAGATTTGGGGGCCAAGATCGCCTCCCTCTTTCATAGAAAAATATCTGGTCTCATCGTTTGGATCGGCCCCATATGAATTTTCAACCAACAAGCCCAAATTGATGTACTCGCCATTAACAATTTTAAGTTTTAATTTATTTGATACTTTATGGCCTAAATCATTGTCGTAGCTTGTCGTTAATGCAAGATAATTGTCATTTATCAAAACGGGTTCTGTACCTTGACTCTGTTCCCGTGTGGCCATGGGGGTTTCCAGTGGCTCTATGGGCATTGGGGGGTTTGTCTCACTCTGCTTGCTTAGGATGTTTGCTACAGCTTCTGACACCTGCTGCAACTGCTCATTAGATAAGCTAAAGGACGGCTGTCCCATGCTTCCACTGGTTTCAGTTTGACCATCTCCTTGACTGGTCTGGGCGCCATCGTTGCGCTTGGCGCGCCTTCTTGGTAATGGCGTCGAATCACGCTTTCTTTTTGGCATTGTCGTTGACTTTGGGTGCTCGTTGAAATTTTGAAGAAACTTGATTTTTTGCGCTCGACGTCACAGGTTTTAGTGCATGGGTTTGGCTAATACCCCGAAAACCCTGAGAACAGGATGGCGCTAATACAAGGCCGGGACCGGAAGGATACCTCCTAATACCGAAATAATAAAAAGCTCGATGGCACTTTGATAAACGGATTTAACCTTGAGTGGTTAAATCGCATTACTTTTGATGCGCAGTCAGCTGTAAACCACATACCATGATGTATTCGAGGGACTAGGATCTTTCCCAGGCGAGTACAAGATTGAAATTGATCCGACTTTTAAGCCAGTTCAGCATCAACCAAGGAAAGTTCATCAAGCCATGAAGCAGGAAATTCACACGAAGCTGAAGGATCTGGAGGCAGATGTGATCAAGAAAGTTACTACCCCTACAGACTGGATAAGTAGTATGCTAACAGTGAAAAAACCTGGAAAGCTACGCATATGTATTGATCCCAGAGACTTGAACAAAGCTATCAAGCGACCACACTATATCATGCCTACCCTTGAGGACATATTACCGAATCTTGCGAACGCAAAAGTATTCTCTGTCCTTGATGCAAAAGAAGGATTCTGGCACATCAAATTAGATGAATCTAGCAGTTTCCTTACTACATTCTGGACCCCTTTTGGTCGATACTGATGTTTGCGTTTACCCTTCGGAATTTCATCAGCGCCTGAAGAATTCCAGCGCAGACAACACGAAGTGTTGGAAGGACTATCTTGAGCAGAATGTGTGATGGATGACATCATAGTCTACGGCTGTGGACAGACCATGGAATCAGCAATTCGAGACCATGACCGCAACTTGACGGCAGTTCTCCAAAGAGCCCTTTAGGTGGGACTAAAGCTTAATAATGACAAGTTCAAACTTCGTCAGACTTAAGTCAAATACATGGGCAGTATACTTACGGCAGAAGGCGTCCGCCCTGATCCAGACAAAGTTAGTGCCATTACAAACATGAAAAGACCTGAAAATGTGAAAGCAGTGCAACGCTTTATTGGTCTAGCAACATACTTGTCTCGATTCTTACCTCACCTATCGGAAACCTGTGAACCTTTGCGACGTCTCACAGACAAAGGAGCCATATGGTCTTGGCAATCGCAGCAGGAAGAAGCATTTCAGACTGTCAAACGTCTCGTGAGTCATCAACCTGTACTCAAATACTATAATGTACATCAGGAAGTCACGATTCAGTGCGATGCTAGCGAAGTTAGCCTCGGAGCCACATTACTTCAGAATGGAAAGCCCATTGCTTATGCCTCTCGTGCATTATCTAAAACTGAACAGTGTTACGCACAGATAGAGAAAGAGTGTCTTGCAATCGTTTTTGCATGCGAAAGATTTGACCATTACATATATGACAAGGATTGCATTACAGTACAGTCAGACCACAAGCCTCTTGAAACGATCTTCAGGAAACCTCTCTTGTCAGCTCCAAAAAGTCTCCAGCGACTCCAGAAATACAACCTGGATGTTGTTTACACCAGAGGAAAAGAGTTGTTCATCGCAGATACCTTGTTTCGTGCGACTACAGAGTATCATGGACAGCACACTTCCAAACTCGCTGAGGAGATAGCACACATCCAACAGGCAGAGTGGGTTAGAAAGGTCACAGACTCAAGACTGAATCAAATCCGAGATTTGACAAACAAGGACGAGAGACTCTCCAGTCACTAAAGACAGTGATACTTTCAGGATGGCCTGATACTAAGGAAGACGTTCCTATTCCAATACGACCATATTGGAATGTCAGAGACTTTTTATTCTCACAGTAACAAGATGGTATTATTTACCGCAGCAGCCGCGTTGTAATTCCCAAAGCTCTTCGACCGGAAATGCTTACGCCGCACTCATTCCAGCCACTTAGGAATTGAGGCTTGTCTACGGAAAGCTAAGGATTCGCTCTATTGGCCTCTAGTGAATGAGGAGATCAAGGATTTTAGTACAGCAAGTGTAGCACATGCAGCACGTTTCAACGGAAACAACAGAAAGAACCATTAATGACACATGATGTCCCAGACCAGCCATGGTCAAAACTAAAATGGACGATCTTTTACTCTAAAGACTGAGGATTACCTTGTCACAGTTGATTTTTACTCAGATTTCTTTGAGCTCGACCTACTTCCAGATACCACAGCAGCCACAGTAATCAGCTGTTTGAAACAACATTTCGCACGTCACGGAACACCAGATGTTGTAATAACCGACAACGGCCCGCAGTTCAAATCAACTGACTTTCATGATTTTTCATGTAATTGGGAGTTTCAGCATGTAACCTCCTCCCCGTATTATAGTCAGTCAAACGGGAAAGCAGAAGCAACGGTGAAGATCGCAAAGAACATGGTGCGCAAGGCTAAGAAGAATGGAGACGACCTGTGGAAATGCGTTCTAGATTGGAGGAACACCCCAACAGTGGACATGGCCAGCAGTCCATCACAACGACTCATGTCACGAAGGACTCGACATTCCTTACCCTTATCGCCGGAACTACTCCAGCCCAAACTTTTCGACGATGTAGCGGACAAAGTTAAGTTCAAGCGACAAAAGGCCAAATTCTACTACGACAAATCTGCTAAGGAACTACCAGAACTCGAAATTGGTCAACCAGTCCGCATGAAACATCATACAGAAAAGAAATGGAGCTACGGTACTTGTGTGGATAACATCGGCAATCGCTCTTACATCGTAGATATCAACAATAAACAATATCGACGAAACCGAAGAGACCTTCGCGCAACAGACGAGCCTTATGATGCCACTACTCCGTCATTTATTCCAGAATTTGAGGATTCACTTGATGCGCCCTCAGTAACTTCCGAAAAATCGAAAGTGAATGACCTTAAAGTTACCAAAACACCAACTCCTCAAAAGCCGAGTGAACCAAAGACCCATTTTTCCGCCAGCCCAGTTAACAGCCAACAAGTCACATACAAGGTTACCAAAGAAACTCGAGGACTATGTTTTGTGAATATGATATTTGTGAAAAATATAATTTCTGTTTTGCAATAATCTTACTGAACTTTTCAAATGCAGAAAGTTTCATGTGAAAATTTACATGTATGCTGTAATTCAGTTTTTATTTCTATAATTCAGAAATACTGATGCTTTATGTTTCAAGATTTGTTTACACAGCAGGAACATTTTGATTGATATTGTCTAAAGTTTAAACTTCTAAATGAATTGCCATTCATTATCAAAGGAAGGGAGATGTTAGGATGTAATGTATGTTAATTAGTCTGACCCTTTTGTGTACTTGTGTATTACGTCATCACTTTATGTCATTCAATAAAATGTTGAACTGAAACACATGTCTGGTGTTATCAGTGATGAGTTTATAATTATAACAACAGTATCTCATTACTAAATTTGCCAGCCAAATGTATTATTTACAATAAAATAGGTTTTACTGAATGTATTTCCATATGGAGACTAGGTCTTCCTCTAATTCTGCTAGATTCTGCTGCTGGAAAAGCTGTCGCACACTCCGGTCTATTTTCTTCCATACATGTTATATAATTAGTTAGGGTTGAGATTAGGATGACAAGGGGGGCTTATCGAAAGTGCCTGTATCTTACTGACAATAGTTACATAATGCCTCATTACATGAATTCCAAACTTCTCCAGTTTGACATTGAGGGGAGGGCGCTTCCGGTTCCTGTACCATTGATTTTTCCGAATAAACTCTAGGATGATTATGTTGTGTTTGCTGAAAATCTAAGCGATTTCTTATGATTAAAAGGAATTCAGGTATACTTTGTAGGTTTTCAGGGCTGTAATTATAAAGGATTTAAGTAAAAAAAAAGTTATCCAGTGAAAAGAAACAGAACTATCGTTAACTACGACAAGCTTGGGCCTTTTCAACTTCACTTTCACATTGTTGTTTGGACAAACACCGCATTTTAATCATTTTTTTTTTGTTTTTCGTAATAAAGCAAAGATGGAGAACACATGAAAGTAAAAAATATGTAATACACCTGAAAAACATATGGAATTCGAACTTCATGTTTTTTAACAAAAAACGGTCGAGTAATTACACATTCGATTAATTTTTTTTTTGCCTTCACAGAAGGATATGGAGATAATTAACGAATAGTATTCAATCTCAAAGTCCATTAAACAATATACAAAATCAGAGCAGAGCAAACACGGACCTCCGAAACATCAGAGGTGGGATCAGGTGCCATGGAGGAGTGAGCATCCCCTGCCGACCGGTCCCACCCGCCATGTGCTTGTTGTCATGATCAGGATTTAACGGAAAAAATCCGTCGTCAATTCAGTGTATAAATAATGGACTAACATTCATATGAACTAAACCGGACTAAAAAAGATTAGTATTGCAAAAGGTAAAATTGTAAGCAACTAGTACAATAATTTTAAGGTTTTGAACTTTTAGAAAAAATATAAGTTGGGACTTAGAAATATTGACAAGTATATTTTGAAATATATCATATAACTTTCCAAGTTACATTGCATAATTGGACATAAGCTAAAATAGAATGATTCATTCAAAAAAAAATTTCCGAAATGTTTCAGATAAATATAAGATTAAGTACATGTAGCTTTAAACAAAATAGATGAAGATAAATAGGACCATGCTTTACACTAACTTCCTTTTGCAAAAAATGTAAGAAGATAAAATATATAACGGAAAGCCATTAAGATCAGTTCAGAAAAAGAAATATTTTATTCCGTTTAAACGCAAAAAATTACTTTAATCGCAATAATCAATGGATGATCGAGGAAGTGATGCATCTCACAAAAACATTTCAGTTCCTTCCCTATATAAATATATTATTTGAAAAAAATTAAATGTAACTTATTTTCCTAAGTCATTGCTTTTGTGTTTTAAATATAGTTGAGTTCCACTTCTCGGACTGAAAAAAAAACATACGACTACACAAAAGATGCACCGTTATTTGCCTAAAAATTGCATAATTTGACCAGTATCTCAAAATTTACGTTAATGTCTGATAGTTATCTTTCAATATTTTAAAACTTCAATGTACTTCTAACAGATCAGCACTATATAAAGTCATAAAAAGCTCTAAACAATAAAATGCATTGTATATTTAGATTTTGAATACCCAAAACATGATATTTCTTTGTGCAAAAAGATCACACAATAATTAACGTGCAGTTGTCTGCACGATTTGATCA